TTCCCCAAAATGAGGGGGAAAGGGGATCACCTGGATGAAGGGCATGGAGATGTTACTGGCAAAAACAGACAGGCCATTTTCTACAGTGAGACAAACACACACACACACAAACACACACACACACAGCCCAGTATTCATATCATTTTGGGGAAACTCCATTAATTTCCATGGGCATAACCCTTATCCACTAATGTTGAAGTCATTTTTTTTTTTCATTTTATTTCATTTCATTTCATCATTTCATTTCATTTTAACAAAACCATTGATTAAGGAGAAGACCTTCCAAACATGGGATGCAGGATTAGATTTCAGACGACCTGTTCTAAGGGTGTGCACCTTCCACATTAGCTAATTAACTATTCTGAGCGACACTAGGCTTGATTCACCGACATCCGATTTAACGAGGCCTCCTTCCAACAATTCCCCTTAATCATCAACACTCACTGGCTGTTTGTTCCAAACTTCGCCGCCATGAATAGACTTATTTCTTCTAAGATTATGCAAGAAGCTTTTTTCCCCTCCAGTTCTCCTTAGCTGCAAGGTTGTCTATTGTTTAGCACATTTTAGGATTTTGTTTTAGTTGTAATTGGTCTTGTGACGATGGAAAGGAGTGGGGATTATATTTAACCAGCCAGCAGAGCCTTACTAAGAGTCATGTGTGGTTCTTCCATCTGTCTCGGTCAGTGATCGCATCTTCCCCATCTTCTGCGCCCCGAACCTGCTCCCTCCTTAATTTAAACGACCATAAAATAAGACACGCAGGTTTCTCTCTTTCCTTATACACTAGTGGCCAAAATTGTGGCAACACATCCAAGGTTTAGGGATTACAGAACTTTATCCAACTGTTGCTCCAATTTCTTATTTAATCATGCAATATATGATATTTGTAACATTCTTTGATTGTTTATAAATATCACCACCGAAATTTGCGTGTTAATTTTTAAAGGGTGGCTCCAAAAAATGCAAGGAGCGCATGAAAACTCCGAAATGTGATACCGAACAACTTGGGATCATGGTTCGCCAAGTGACTGTGACCTAAAAGGCCACAAGGGCTTGGTCGTCGTAGAAAGTCACAGCATCGCTTTCGATCTCAAGCTTCACATGCGAATATCAGAGCAGGCAGATGCACTAAACCTCAAATGTCACCCTGCATGATATTCAGTCGGTTCGCGGTTTCATTGCCGGAACTGCTGAGGGTCAGTTCATAACCGAAACAGAAAGAGGCTCGACTCACCTAGCAAAGTCATACTCACAGATTTTTACAGATTCAGTCTTTAAAAACAAAAAAGAAAACACAGAACCCCTCTGAAGTCAATGGGCATCATTCTGCAAGCCTGATAGAATACAGCTGGATCTCGGACAGGATTGGGAATAATGAGGATGGGCTTGACCGGTTTGGAGATCTGGAGTCTGGAGATCACACCTGGGTATTGGTTTCTAAGAGGGTGTCCATTACACTTTGATGGAAGTTCTCAGTCTCCAGCTAAGCAAATCCACAAAAACATCATGAGATGTTTGAAAGTGAAGGTCAGCCTTCCCATACTCCAAGCTGAACACCGCAATCGCTCACGCCGCCGGATAATGAGAACTCGGACGCTCACTCAGCAGGGTTCCATGTATATTTTATGAATGATAAGACTCAAGCTTCTGCTCCAGCCCCACACAGTTAATCCTGTAATTAAATGCCACCAAACAGTGGAATTCAATATTCAATCCAGGTTTATTGGTTAAACCCTTCTGTAGTGACATGATGACCTCAGGTCTGTTTTTATTGTCTTTTTTTGAAATGATGTCCATTCATATCATGTTACCACTGTGCTGCATGCTAATCTTGTAAGCATGGGGTTTGAATTTCAATTTTTAACAAATCCTGCATATACAGTATTATTCTAAACATTCTGAACACCTGTAGATCAATTGGAAAGTACGGTTCTTTCACGCATCTTAATTTTTAAACCTGCATGAAATAAACTCAGAATTGCCTGCAAATCCCAAAAGGTTTCCCACAAGCGTCATACAATCATTGGTAAAGGCAGCGCGCAAACTTAAATCTTGCTTACGTTGATTCCACATTCATGTATCTTACATGGACAGAGTAACACATAACTTTGTTTCTTATGAAATAACAAGGGAAGATGAGGCTGAATTTGCCAGGGAACCATGAATAGCTCGGCTGGATGTAAAGTGAGTTCTCGTTGCACGTGGGGCTTTGCGTGGCCTTGTTTACGTCTTGTGTTTAAATTTGCCATACGTTCATGGCAATGTGCCTGCCAACTAAGTCCCAAACGAGCATTTTAATCCGCTGATACAGTACATCAGGCCTCCAAAAAACAGTAAACAAGGTCTCTCTGCTCTGTACTCAAAGAAGACCAACAGGCTGGTGGGGAAGACGTCTCCTCTTCATCCCGTACTTCAGAGGGGACAGTGAAAGTCTCCTTTGAGAATGAGCTAAGCAGCCTCTCACCCCACATTCACTGGTTACCTAGGTTTGAGTCTCACAATGGGAAAAAGTGTAACACTCATCACAGAAGACATTCAGCGTTCACGAAAAAAAAATCCCCTTCCACTCGCTTAAAGCTTCCAAATGTCCCAATTAAGAAAAGCTTATCAGAGCAGCAAAGAGAGACACAAAGAGGCTCGATTCACCTACTCAAATACAGCCGCACTCGCATTTACAGATTCAGGCGTTGGAAAAGCAGAGTGGTTTCTTGCTATGATCTGGCAGCTGGAAATGAAATCATTTTGTACAAGAGGAACAAACACCTACGATGCTGAACCCCCCCGGTTGACTTTTCAAGGACCTCTTCGAGAATGAGGTAGCCGTACACTTTCAATTTCACAATAAAGCATTATTTCTTCACATGGAAAACTGGAAGAGTTTCATTTTAAATACTGTTTTTAAGATACTCCGTGTCTTTAAAAAAAAAAAAACAAACACTATCAGGACAATAAAGATAAATCCTTCAGTGGAATTTGCTCTTTGAGATACAGGAGTTTTAGCATCAGAGCAACAAGGAGCTGCAGGTGAGTCTCATTCCCCAGACCAGAGTCGGACAGCCATGTGATTCCGATCTGAGGGGAAACAAACACCGTAATCTCCGGGACCATCGGAGCAGGATCCCCTTGGGAGTTACATGTCGAGCTGAATCACACTGATCCGTGCAGGCCACCCCCCAAGAATCATCTGAAAAGCGACCATTGCTCTCCCTATTTCATAGGTCAAACACCTGCAAAGCTCCAGCAAGAACAGCTCCAGAAAACTACTTCCATACGCAAAGGTCTCGGCCTGCAGCCGGGTCTCTGCCACCCCCCCCCCAGGACTTGCATCAATCCTTCCCCCTCTCCCAACCCCCTGGTCCTGGGAGGCCGAGTTACTGTTGGTATCTGACTTTTCTTATGGATGTGGGCTTACACAGACTGCAGTTCTTCACATTTCTCTGAGAGTCCACTGTATTACTTCACAAAATGCACAAATAACTGAACCGTGTCCATGGAACGTGTGAAGCCTTCTTATATAACCCCACGTCTCTGAGCATCAGCATGTGAATAGTGTAGGACCAAACAGTAAGAGAAAAAAACTACTGGTTTAAAACAAGAAATGGGGTGGAGGGGAGAGAAAATCGACACCAAATATCCTGGAAAAAAAAAACAATTATGAGGGGGTGGTGGCGGGGGGGGGGGGGGGGGGGGGGGGGGGGGGGGGGGGGGGTGGTCGGGTGAGCAAATGGTTCAGAGAGACAATACAGAAATAAGAGCGACAACAATCCCGCAAAACTCGCCACCCCCCGCCTGCCGTCCGCCACCTTCCCCCCATTCCGGCACAAAGCGGCAGTCAACAGGCGGGGGCATGAATCGGGAGGGGACTAAAAACCTGCCGGCAATTTAAAACAATGAAAAGATAACAGGAGCCCAGGAAGGAGCAACGGAGACCGATGGTCCTGCCGGCGCATCAGATGGCAGGTGAGCCGGCACAGGTCCGGGGAAGAGGGTGTCAGATAGACCACAGACCCACGGCGGCCGGCGACCCGGGGCTAAAGAGCGGCTCAGCTGTCACTAAACAGCAAATTAACTGTCACTTTCAAAGGCTTAGAAAAATGCGAGAAACATCCATTTCTGGTGCTTTCTTGCAGAGGTGTTATAAGATGAGAGGGAAAAAGTTATATATTCAGGGGAAACACGTGGAGGAAAGAAAGACACCATGAATCATGGATGTGTCAGACAGACGCAGTTTTGTTGAGAAATCGCAGTAAACATGAAAACTTTAACATGAGATGATCATTCGGTTTTTAGCCAAGTCCGTGTTTCCATGAATGAACGACATTTAAACGTTTCGCCATTTATTGGTGTGAATTGAGTGGACAGCGTGAAGCTAATCAATTACTTGTTGGTTATTTTTATTGCTACACATTATTTTTAAAATGCCGGTGTCAGAGTCCATATTACTTGCTGGCGAAACCAGTTCAGTGTATGACCTTAAGACAAAAATATGTTTTGACAATTTTCAGTGAAAACACCTATAAGGTCTTATCTACTGGAAAACGCTTGTCATACTCATATATCAATACCATGAAAATATTGTGCGAACGTTTTTATAATAATTGAAGAAAAAGGACGGTTCATTTGTTAATTTAAAAAGTATATTTGTCAACAGACGCAAATGTCCATCTGCGTTCATTAATACTGCCACAATATAGACCAGACCCCCTCAACAATGCACCTTGACACACTGTAGTGTACCCAACCAGGAGAAAAACTATTACACAAAATTAACGTATAATCATAAATACGAAAGTTAAAAATGCACCAATAAAATATTTAACCATGAGAAAATCTTAAAAGCTTGCTACTTGCCCAGCTTGATATATTGTTTTACTTTGTTTGCACTATTGCCGTGTATCCGTTATTTCTTATTACAGCTCCGAGTCTATGCATCACCTATCTTGAAACTCGATTTCCATTAAAAAAAAAAAAAATCAGCAAAATGTCCAAAATGCACTTACCGACGCCGTATTTCTCGTGTTCTGTAGGCATCCACATATTTTACGATTTGCACGTTTGGCGCATTTAAAAGAAATGCAAAAGCAGCGCCGCGACATTAAAAACTGCGTGCAACACAACGCATCCTAGCGAGCCCCAAGCACTGTCCACGGATTCATTGTTCTGGATGAGAAAACAGCGGCCGAGCGCTGCTCCTGCCGAATTCTGCATCCTGGGATATGTAGTCAAAAGCAAATTACGTCACCAGCACTTTCAGAACCTCATGTCCCATAAGCCCGCCTGCCTATGTTGACGTGGGTGACATACGTGATTGGCCAATTGCTGTTTTAATGTGGTCCCACGTGATCGCTGGATGAGAGCATGGCTGCCTGCAGCGATGGGAAGGCAATGAGGGGTGTGTAGTATTTAAGTTACTTTTCATAAGTATACGAACTGTTGAAAGTTAGCTGTCGAAGTTAGTCTTAAAGGGATTTTACAAATCTTACTCTAGTAATAGAGTTCTAACCAGCTATTTCGGATAGCTGAACTTGACAACCCGTGCGTTTAACAATATATTGGTTGTGTTCTTGTGCTCCGCATTTTTACTTAGAGGGTTTAATTCTGATATAAAATTATGAAGGAGAAATAAAAACAGAAATTGGGTGTAGCTGACTAAGTTTATGCTAACAGTGTTATGTAGCTAACCGTCAGCCGTTTCCTAATCACCTGCGAATTTGAGCTAAGACAGCATAAGTTTACTGACTTCATTGGTATGATATTGTTCTAGTAAACTGTTCAAAAGCATGGCAGCTCGGATTTTTATGGATGATCGTATAGTTAATGAAATTGTGCTCAGAAACGCGAACAGGCCAGTTTTAATTTACGAGTTAAAGTGACGCATTAAACCAGAACTTTCAGTATTCAAAGTGTCACCCCATGAGTCCCAGGTCTGATGTTTTAACCGGTTTAAGTCTTTCCTCATGGCCAAAGCTGATTTGCCGGGTTCTGATAAAAAGGTCTTGCTTCTGAATATCGGGATCTGAATAGAGGATACAGTCTGAACTGAATGGTATACTGAGAATATATATTATATTATATTTAAGTATGGAAGGCTTGGGGATAGATAGCACGGTCGGCCAACATCGCTGGAGCCGTAAGGGCATTGTTAAGGACGATTCAATTACAGGCATAGAACCAAAAACCCAATGAAACACATGTAAGCAAAGGTGATCAAACTAGGCACTGCCAAATTAAAACCTCCTTTAAAGATCTATGCCTCCATCCAGTTTCAGTGTTTGATATTTACTGAAGCTGCTTGGATACAGCCTCCAGGTTGTGGGTTCAAGTCCCACCCCAACTCTGGTGTCTGCAGAGTTCTCCTTTTTCATGTGGGGTTCCTCCCACAGTCGGGATGCATTCTGAGATATGATATTCTGCACCTCCAAATTGCTTTTAGTGTCTTATTGTCTATGTGTCCTGTGATGGAGGAGCACCCTATGCAGGGTGTATCCCAGCCTTGTGCTTTATGCTGCCTGGGACTGGCTCCAGGCCCCCCGTGACCCCGCCCAGGATGGATGGATGGATGGATATTCGAACATTATTTCAGTCTAACCAGTCCTTAAATGCACCAGCTCATCTTTTTGCTCGCATGCAGGCATCGAGTAGCAGATGCACCCATTTGCCACAGAACGCCTGCTGTTTTGGTGTGTCGAACCACAGCCAGGAAGAGGTTTCTGTGAGACAGAAGCAGGTCCTACCAAGTGGGGGGGTGGTGGGGTTGGGTGGTTGGGGGGGGGTGGACTACAGCCGTAGCTGAGCGGTAGCAGCGTGGGTGAATCAGACCACAGGACAGTGGCTCCTTCAGGGGCTTGTGTTTGGAACCACTGCTTGAAATGCAAGAACGGCAGCATTGGCCATTTTGAAGCAGAGCAGGTTATGAACTGCATTTGCCGTAACAGTCGCATCGATGGCACCTGCACTGTTACTGCACTTTTTCAGTCACTTTATCAATCATTTTATCCCCCTGTTGTGTATTTTTTGCACCGTTTTGTACTGTTTTGGACTATTTGTTCTGTCTTGTATTGTCTTGCACTGCTATTGGTCATTTTGTAAGCAAGTGTGGCTGAATGAGCAAGTATTTCAATGCATCTGTTGCACACGGCCCATAAAGATCTTGAATGTTGAATCTTGAACCGAGATACCTGCCCAAACTTACACCATTCACCTTATGAGATCCACACAGGCCACAGTCCTTAGGTCTCATGCCACTGTGCCACTTCCCTCCTCTCCCCAGAAGGGCAGGATTGCATCCTGGAGCCCTTGTCCTTCCCGGAGGGCCCCGACAGCAGTGTCCCCATTGCGGGTGTGACCGCCGCCACCATCCCCTGCGCCTTGTGTCCCGACCCTCCCCCCCTCTGGGAGAAGGAGTCGCTCCTGAAGCACATGCTGCTGGAACACAAGTTGGTCATCGCCGACGTCAGGCTGGTGGCCGATTTTCCGAGGTACCCTCACAGCTCTGACACATGAGAGCGGGAGAAGTTCCTCTTAGGCTCTGCGGGCTGCCGAGGGGTTTTCCAGAACGTTCTTCTGCCTGCTCTCTCAGAACCTTTGAGCCTGCTTAGAAGCCCAGCTCAGAGCGGGCAAAGGGGAGTGATCGTCACCACGTGCCAAAAAGGCGCCCTCCCACGCATTCCCACGCGCTCTGTTTAAATGCGCCGACATGTCGGCATTGAGAGAAATTCTGAAGGTTTCACTAAATCACAACGCAATGGCAACCCCCACCATGTCTGGGGCGGGGGGGTTGAGGAACTAGGTGGGCTCAGCTGAGTGCACGCAGTTTCCTCATCACCATACAATGTGTATATTTTATTTTATATAACCGTATCTAAAATGCCGACCCTGGGATTTGAACCAACGATCTTCCAGTCAAAGGCACCACGTTCCATCCTGCTGAGCCTCATGTCACCCCCCTATATGGGTATATATGCTGTAGGAGTACCTATATGTATCTGTGTGCTCATTCTTTATGTACACTGCAGGGCCCCTCACACACAGTCCCTTAGAAAGTCTAAGACAGTGGTGGCCAATCTTATCCGCAAAGGGCCGGTGTGTATGCAGGTTTTTGGGATAACCTGCAGGTCAGCTGTTCAAACCCGGGTGTGAGGACCCTTCAGCCAATCAGTCCTCTAATTAGTAATCTAATTAGGGAGTTGCAGCAAAAACCCGCACACACTATGGGCCTTTCTGGATTAGATTGGCCACCCCTGGTCTAAGAAAAAGAGCGGCTGAATACCCCCCCCCCACCCCGCAGCTGCAGGGTAATGAGACAGGCAGAGATGTGCGGCGTGAGTCTGCCTCACTGATCGGCGGATGGAGGGAGTTCCGCATCAGTGACTATCCATTACCATCCCGTTTCCTGGTTTCCGGGGCGACACGGCGTCCCGCCCACCCTGGGGAATAGCGACAGGGACGATGTCGTCTTTCTAGATAATTCCATAAAGAAACAATGTGGAATATTTGCTGTAGAGCTGATGTCACCCGGGGGAGTGGGAGTCATTAGCCGGGCCGCCATGTCCGCTTGGGGACAGTGTGCTCCCCGAGGCCGCAATGACACCCCGTCGCCCCGCGATCACTCCCCAGTCCTGAATAAACCCCCCCCCCCCCAGACGCCCGAAGGTCACCATTGTTGGCCAGGATCGCTTTCCCATAAAGCTGCATTCGTCTCGATGACCTCGGTTAAGAATGAATAGATGTTGAGGTTCTGAATGAGTGAAGGACACCTTGTATGTCAGCGGGCAGAATATTACCTGAGGGACCCAGAGAACGAGGCTCCTCCCTCCCCGCCAAGGGCCCCCCCCAGGAGATTCCCAAGCCATACGGATGTGAGTAACTGGGTGTGCGTATGTGCCCCCTGTTTGGTGCAGGTATATCTTGTACTGGAGGAGAAGATTCAGCGAGCTGCCCATCACTGACTTCTGCAGCGTTATCCAGACCAACTCCCACGGACCTGCCGGTAAGTGCCGCGTTGACGTGTCTCTGAGGGCCCAGATCTCACCCCCCCATCCCATCCGTTTACCTTGTGCCCACTTTTTTTTTTTTTTTTCTCTCACTCTGCAAGGTGCAGTGTGATCGAAGGCACGCACTGGGTGTGATGTCACCCACTTCCTATGACAAGCCAGTCTCCACGGGTCCGAGCAGAGATGAGACCATGTTGGTGGAG